GAATCCTAGACTTCAATCGGGGCCACACATTTGTCCAGTATTGTCCAGTGATCAAACGGTCAAAGAAGATTTCTGAAATGCTGCAGGTGTGCAATGCTGAGAGGTAGCCCAGGTCCATCAATCAAATCTAGTGGAATTCCTCGGGTCAAACCCTTTCCCGGATTCCCGATTAAAAGATGGGGGAGGGCTATGAAGAGGGGATAACGGGGGGAGGACGGAAGCAATTAAGGCTCTGGTTGTATTGGCCAAAGCATCATTCGATTCGAGGGGGACTCCTGGGAAGTATTTGAAGTGTCAAAATCCGAGCAAGGACCAGCATGGAATCATCGGCACGCAAAAAAACAAAACCAAAGGGGAGACAAAAGGCTCATTCTCTGGCTCTTTGCGTTTCCGGGTGCTCGGTAATTACCCAGCACCCCGAAACGAGGGCGAAGATTTGTGTGTGAGCCCAAAGCCGTGACTCAAAACCTGCCATCCACGTGCACGCCCCGCGCCCAGAGCCTCCGCCGCCGAGCCGCAGAAAGCTGCTGCCTGCCTGAAACAGATCTGGCGCTTGGCGCCCGAAGTTGCTGAGAGCGCCTTTGGCCGCTTGCACCGCGCCCTGCGCCTGACCTGAGAAGACGTCCTGGAAGCTCGCCGTGCGCGCTATGTCTTGCTTTGAAAGCTGAGTGCGATGCCTAAACTTAGAACACATGCCAAGACTGGGAGCCAAACATGGGGAGTTTTGGGACCCGAGCGGAACATCTGTTTGCTCAAAACACGCCCACACGTGGTTGGACCCATTGGCTGCCTGAAAACCCATTTCTGGGTGCCTACTTGCCTAGCTTTGAGCGTCCAAGTAAGTACCTAGCCTACATTGTTCACAAAAACCGTAATCAGGCCCTACTTCTAATGGGAAAATCACGATCATCTGGCATGAAAATACATGAACTCGAGCAACGCAGCTGTGAACTCAAGACATGACTAGCAACGCCAAACGATTTTTTGTCACATCTCATGAACCTAAAAAAATCGTCGGACCCTTCGGCGCTATTTTTCTCCACCGCTCCTTGGGCGCCATGATGAGGCGCCAGCGCACGCGCAAGTAGAGGCCCGACTGCACCACGTTGGACACCTCGCTGCGTGAGGAGGTGCTAATCAGCTCCACTCCTCGCTCCGAGCAAGCCGACAGCATGTCGGATGTCGCAGAAGGTGGGTAGGGAACCGGAAAATACTGTGGATGGAATCCGCTTAGGCACCACTTGGAAATCATGGTTGAAACCAGTGCTGGTTGGCATTTACAGAGGAATCATCATTCCAGGGTTTCTTAGGTGGTGCAGGATTTCGTCCATCCACAGTATGGAGGTTTCCTGTGAAGGTCAGCAATGCCCGGACTGTCAACATGGCAGCCCACTACGAATGAACAAGAAACTTTAAAGCCGAGCAACGCATGGATGGATGTTTCCCTTGATTGGGAAGCCTGTTTCGGATGCTTTCGAAATAGGAACCATGATTTGAAGTGGGTGCTTCCTACAATAAAAAAAAATCGGATCCTCAGGCATGGCCACCAATTCCCGGCAGTTTCCCTTTGAGCATGGTGGCAAGAGACACAAATCCATTGGGCAGTGCCAACGTCGTTGCAAGAGCCGAGCCCTTGTGTCCTTGCTGCACCAGAACCCTTCGATTTCCGATCCCAGTTCACCAAGGCCCAATCGACGTCTTCGTAAGCTGCGAGGTGAAACCAACCACTGGCCACGCCAGAGCCGCAGCTGAACTTCTGCATCAGTTGCCAGTTTTTCTCTCTCCACGACAAGGCAAAGTGGCGATTGCAAGAGAAAAGCGGTCAATACAAGGAGTGTAAGTCACTGGGAGAGTTGCTCAACACAAATCACGCCCCAGATCGAACAAAAGAAGAGAGTAGCATAACCAACAGCTCCAAGTGCCTCCTTTAGCCCAAATATCCAACTGGCAACCATGCACCCCGCCGCTGACATGCATCATTATCGTTTTATCGATAAACGAGGCGATCAAAAATTATACGAGATAAATTCAAGGAGGTGCCCTTTTCGGATGCTATGGATGCACACCCTCCCTATGCAATGATTCATGTGATGAGCAAAGTCTAACGGTCGATACTGATGTCCAGTACGGTAGGCGACGGTCAAACTACAGACTCCCGTGTTAGGAGTTTCAAGGGACCTCGCAAAAGTGGAAACCCCCTCTTCCAGGAGGTCACTTTCTCTCTTTGTTTCCAAAGAGGCACAAATTCAAAAGGCAGTTGCACACAAGGGAACTCGGTTGCTTTCTGCTCCCCTGCTAAAAGCTTGACTTTTAGTGGTTTAACGGAAAACCCACTAGTTGGCAAAAAAATGAAGTCCTAACATCCAAGCAAAACGCACACCAGGGAAATGGTCGAAAGTCGCAAGGGCACGTCGTCCTTGGCGGAAGTTGTCCCAGAACTCACGGTACTTCGTGAGGCCCATGAATCTCAAAGCGCTGACTTGCGCGATCTCCAACGAGACCTGGCCGAATTTGCAACCAGACTTACTGTGGATGGACGGAATCCTGCACCACCTGAAAAACATGGGAAACCATTGTTTGTTGGTATGTACAGGGGAATCATCATTCCAGGGTTTCTTAGGTGGCGCAGAATTTTGCCCATCCACAGTAGGATCTGTGGGGCTGAAGAATGCCGTAGGAAAGCCAACTTGGATGATGGCTTCGGCGTGGCTTCGGCGTGGAATCCAGGTTTTGTGTATGTCACTCGTCTGCACACAACTGACGAATGTCTCAACCAGGCTTTACCCAAAGCTTTCTTTTGTGATCCGGCGTTTCAAACAAAGCCATCATACGTGGACACAGGTCCTGTTAAAGGGTGGTTCAACCAAAAGGTGAGCCCACTATTCAAGGAAAAAAGAAACTCGCAGTTGGTAGTAGCTGGATTCTTAGAAGGCAACGCGAACTCTGCCAGTCCTTGGCTTTCTGCTGCCAGGTTTTGCTTCTCGACTCGTGACAAAATCTATAGCGGGGTCCTTTCCAGCCCTGAAATAGCCTCGGACTGTGGCACTGCATCGAGTCATTTGTATACCTGTATATAACATACATAGTGTGTGTATGAACATATATATATATATATCTATGTGTATATATATATATATATTATACATTGGTCTTGGATTGCATGCCTCACTCGCCAGCAAAGCGTCCTCTCATGCCAAACACTTCTGCGCCTCTGGATCCGCCACATTCAAGCCGGGCGCTAGCCGCGGGATCATCCCGTGGTCCCTCCGCAAGGTGTCGGTGGCTTCCTGGCGGGCGAAACCCAAACCGCGGTCCTGCGAGGCCTGCGAGGGGATGAGCCACACCCATGTTGGAATAGTAACATGTGCAGATGCAATTGAATATGTGTCAAAATGTAAGAATGGGTGTTTGTTTTTTTTGAACCAACCTTAAGTGTACTGCTCTGGCTGGTGCTCAGCAGGGAATGTGTGAATGGCCCCCAAGATAGCGCCCTAACCCCCTAACCCCCTCACCCCATGGCCCCCTAACCCCTAAACCCCTAAGCCCCTAAACCCCTGACCCCTCATTCCCTGCTGAGCACCAGCAAGAAAAGTACACTTAAGGTTGGTTCAACAGAAACAAGAAACAACCACCCATTCTTACATCGCATATCCAATTGTATCTGCAAATGCTACTATTCCAAAAATTGAATTCAGAATCGGATCCCCAAGTACAGGACCTTTATCATGGTGAGCTCGTTTTACCCCCAAATCGGTGAGCTCGCAAAAAACAGGCAGATCAATGTAGTGACACGGATCATATCCAAACCCGTTTCGCTCTGTAACCAGCAAACAATGAGGGTATGATGTGCATTGTGAAACAGCCAGATTCTTCTAGTGACACGACAAGGGCCTCCTAGTGTCAAGAACCCGGTATTACTTTACAAGGCTGTATCTCAACATGCGGCACGTTGCGAGAACAGCAAAACAAGGGAATGACCACGTGAAACCAATCATATTGGTCGAGGACTGCCTGCTGCGACTCTTGGTTGCACCTGCAAGTCGAAAAGCCTTTTTTTGCATGAACAAGGCAGAAAGGCGCCCTGGCGAAAAACTTGGAAAGACTCTTGGGTACAACTGAAAATGACATCTTTGCGCCTGATAGATCTGGAGTACTTCCGCAAGCTGACAAAAGAATCACCCTGGGAAAGCTTCATCTGTGCTTTCTAAACCTCCTTTGTGAGCTCACTCACTATATTTGCCCAGATCGAAATGTGGCTGTGCGCCGTTTTGAGGCTACCCGCTTAGGGTTGGAATCAAGAAACAACCACTCATTCTGGTGGGGACTGTTGGGTCTCCTTCATTTGGACGCGTATTCACTTGTATTCTAGGGGTAGATTCTCTATTCTTTTCAACCATCGTTCTTTTCGAAAACCAGCCGTTGATACTGGGCGTTTGGAGGTTTTCTAGAAAGAAGGATCCCTGGAAAGAATGGGGAAGGTACCCCTAGATGTATGCCTTCCCCCTGCCAACGGCCACGCCAAGTCTCCCCGACATTGGCCGCGAATTGCGGATCCGGCGAGGCCGCTCTGTGCACAGTCCGTTTCCGCGGCAGAGGCGGGCGCGGAGACACGAAAGCGCCTGCTCGAGATGGGAAAAAAGTCCGTGGCCAAAGAACATTTCAGGAATGTGCCGAAGAAAAAAACCGTGGAGCGGAATTACTGGATATCTTTTTAGGCTAAAACCAATCCATCCAAAAGGGGTCCATGTTTGAAGTCATGCAGCCAACCTTTCAGAAGTGTATGCTCCGACAGTAATTTTGCATCAGGTTCTGAGCACAAATCGACCAGTTTGCAGGTAAGAAGCTTTGGGAAACGAGGGAAATGAAGGAAACCTGAAGGCCAACGTGGGTGAAGTCTGGTGGCTTGACATACCACGCCTGACAAGCTCAGCACCAAGACCAGGAAGGCAAAGCCGCGCGCCATGGCGGTCTCAGACTTAACGAACTTGGAAGTAGGGTCCCAAACGGGTGGGTCAAATCCAATAGTACCATTGTGGGGTAGGTGCACCACCCAGTTTAGTCTATTTTAGTGGGGATTGGGATGTTCACTGGGGGTACGGGATTTTGACCCATGGCCAAATGTGAAGCAAGTGCAGGGACATAGATCCCGATGCTTCATTCTGATAGTCCATCTGTGCTTGTGGCTTGCTGGAATGCACAAAAGGTCCACAAAGTGAGCTGTGTTCACCCAAAGTGCCACATTTGATTGTTCTCCGCTTGTACTTTTGTACTTCTGTCCGATGCCCAGGCCCCATAGCGACCGCCAATGCCCAAAGTTCGCACATCCCTCACTGGGTGGTACAAGCTCTTTGGTGCTGGGCTCCCACTTTCTACAAGATGCAAGAGATCAATTCCACCACCGGCTTGTCTCTAGCGTTCCGCTCTTTTCAGCAAGCCCTGCGCTGTGCACAAGGCAGAAAAATTGCAGGCCCCGTCAAGGAGCCGCTGCAAAGTTTGAGCAACCGGGATGCGAGGCGTCCGGCAGGATCAGTTCCCGGAGTTTGCTTCGGCGGTTCAAGCCACTTGCAACATCTGGGGAATCCACTGCCACGCTTTCTGCAAAGGTGCAGGCATGTCGAGTTGACGAGCCTATAGCTTCAACCGCTCGCAACAACAGACCCCTCGACAGCTTCCAGCTAAACCGCGCAGGCAGTTTGGTGAAAGAAGCACGACACAAGTCGCGGGAAGACATGAGCCTGAACTGCTCCCATGAAATGTGTGTGTGTGTGCGCGATGCTGTTACATCGGCTTGATAACACATGCTTAGAGACCAGCATGTCTAGAATCCGTACAGGCAGTGCCCAGGTTTTGCTCGAGCCCACCCAAATAGACATTATCTTGCGTTCCCAACTGGCCAAGGAGTTTAACCTTGTCCATCATTAGGGGCGTCGGCATTGCAAATGGCCATAGATGCAACAGCTCCGCCAAACAAGTTGTTCCTCGCAACCTGGATGACACCTCTGTCTGCCCCGCTTGTTTTTTTTGTTTTGTTTGTTGTTACCTTGGTTTTGCTCGAAACTGCCTTCAAGCGCCACGTCAGTCCCCTAGTGATCGATTCAATTGGCATGCCATGCTTTTGGTGGTTATGCAGTTCTCCTTTCCCAAAGAAGCTTCGGAAGATATTCTAAGAAAACTACACATTTGCACCATCCGAGCGTTTGTGCATTTGCTTACTATGAACAAATGTATCTCTACTACCCTAAGGCTCCCGATTCACCACGGGGCGGACTACCAATTCGGGGTCTTGCGCTTGATCCAGCTACAACCCCCCACACCCCAACACACCCCAAACTCTCGACCCCTGCCTGCGAGGCCCCAAGAGAACATCATTTGATTCGCTTTCATGTAACGCACTAATTACTAGGCGAGGGGTTGAATGTAGGAGTCAACGGGGAGGGTGAGCAAGACTTGTAGGAGCTCCCTGTGCCTCCGTTTACCTGGTAGGTACAAGTTGCGTTTCTCCGTTCAACAGCGCGCGGAGTTGCCTGTTTCGCCCCACGAAACCCTAACCAGTCGCAGCCAGGGTTTCAAGGTGACAAAAACAGAATCGTGAACCCCGTCCCATTTTGCATGCTCAGTGCTGAAAAGGCGCAAAGTTAAAGAAAGAACCGCTTGGTGGAAATTTGGCAGGAGCAGCCACAAAAGCTCGGTTTTGAGCCAGCGTGCACTGCTTCAGTCTGCGCCTGCGACAAGACTGGGCGTTCATCATGCTGGCAGCACACGCTTGTGTATGACCGCGCAAATAGGAACTGCTTGATCTAGCTCAGAACACGGCGGCCAACCAATAGGGTATTGCCTTGCCAGCTGCCTTTGGAGAAATCGGCGGGCGCGTAGCACGCAAAGTGCGGCGAAGGCTACGACAATCAAGCGCAGCTGCAACATCCAATTGTTGGCGGGCACACTGGCGCATTGCCAGTCGCAAAAAGCCTTTTAGGCGTGGCGAGGAGTTAGGAGCACACAAAACGTTTGGTCTGCGTAAGTAGGTATGCACTGATCCATTCAAAGCTTTGCCAGTTTCTCGGAACTCGGGGGCGGCAGATGTCGTGGGTGATGCGATCCGTGCCACCCTGCAGCCAAGCCCTGCATAGTCAACAAAGCAATCATGAAACAGCCCCTCATACAGGTCAACAGCAGATGGTCAACAAAGCGCGAAACAGCTCTCATCACACAGACATCCACGCGTGGCCCATCCGCAAGATCCACCGACCCCAGAGCATGGTGCTTGGGGCTTGTTTAAGCTGGGGTTTTGATCAGGGGATCATTTTTGCGCCGACGTCTTTCTGACGCTCGCGGAGTCACGGCGTAGATTGTTGAGGCCCGAAATTTGACGAGGCCAACCGACGCAAACTGACGCCGACCGACGGCTTTCTGACGCTCGGGGCGCTGAAGTGTCGTAACTTCGCAGCCCCAAGGAGGCCAACCGACGCCAACCGATGCCGACGGATGGCTTTCTGACGCTCGGGGCGTCGAAATGTAGTAAGTTTGAAGCCCCACAGAAGGCCAACCGACGCTAACTGACGCCAACCGACGGCTTTCTGACGCCGGGCGCGTTGAAATGTAGTATACAGTTTGAAGCCCCAAGAAGGCCAACCGACGCCAACTGACGCCAACCGACGGCTTTCTGACGCAAAAGGAGGCCAACCGACGTTAACCGACGCCAAGCCAACTGACGCCAAAACCCAGCATCCCCAGCAACACTCTCTCCATCACCTGCAAGGAAGAACTCCCAACTTCGACAGGTTCCCAGGCACCACCAGCAACTCAACCAGATCCCTACACCAATTTGTGTTTGGTGTCTGCGTTGCTGTCTCAAGAAGCCGCGTGTTTGCCACTGACAAACCTGAAAAGAGCTGCAGCCGGATGGGGGGGGGGCGCTGGCGGTTTGCGTCGGTTAGCGTCAGTTGGCGTCGGTTGAACAGGGCGTCGGTTGGCGCCCTTGGTCGGTTGGCGTCGGTTGGTGTCGGTTGGCGTCGGTTGGCGTCGGCTGGCGTCGGTCGGCGTCTTGGCGTCGGTTGGCGTCGGTTGGCGTCGGTTGGCTTCCTGGCGTTAGTCTAGTTGCGTCGGTTGGTGTCGGCTGGCGTCTTGGCGTCGGTTGCCTGTGGTTGGCGCTGGTTGGCGGCGGCTGGCGTCGGTTGGCGTCGGCTAGCGTCGGCTGGCGTCGCCTGGCGTCGGTTGGCGTCGGTTGGCGTCGGTTGGCGTCGATTGGCGTCGCCTGGCGTCGGTTGGCGTCGGTTGGCGTCGGTTGGCGTCGGTTGGCGTCGGTTGGCGTTGGCGTCGGCTGGCGTCGGCTGGCGTCGGCTGGCGTCGGCTGGCGTCGGCTGGCGTCGGTTGTCGGCAGGGGACGGCGGAGTTTCATGATATCTTCCGAAGTCGCACGCGCAGCAAGCTCAAGATCGGAGACTTTTCCTGCTCGCGACCGATGAGGGCGCAGTGAACCTCATGGACCTTAACGTCAAAGCTCTGAGCAGGCAACCGCTGAAAATCTCAATCTGGCAGCAGTGGTTTTTGCACATCTTGCTGCACAGCAGCAGACATGAAGTTGCTACCGTAAATGTTCCTGCTTGCCCCCTGGACAGCCGTAGCCGGCTTTGCTTGATGTTCCCATCTTGCCCCCTGGACCCTCACAGCTTGAGTATAAATGAGTGTCAGCCAGCCCCGGTTTTCGGGGTGTCGCGGGGCGTGGACCTAAAATCTTGGAGGCCCCAGGAAGCCCCAAGGTGTCTCCTGGCCAAACCCCAAAATGACGGGGTGTGAGTGGCACAGCCTGGGGCGAGGTACGAGCGCCCCAAGGAGACTTAGGGTATACATGAACATCCAGAAGTTCATGCAAGAGACTGAAGACCAGCTGTGCAAGCAAGACTCTCAAATAACGAGCCTGGGTCTTAGCATGTGCAATTGCTCGACTTGCTCCACAACCAAACAAAGAGATCCCGCTCACCATCCAGCAAAAGCGAACATGGCCAGCCCCAGCCGCTCACCACACATGTTTCGTGTGGCAAGTGTAGCACTCACACTTTGCCGGGAAAACCGCTGATGGAAACATTGATTGGGCCAAAGCATTTGCCCTGGACCTACCCAATGGAAATGGGCACAAGTGCAGCACCTGATTTTCTCGCGAGGTTTTGCTAAGCTCGCATGTACATGGACATCCGAGACCCGAGACCGAGTGCGCCGGACGCCCGCGACTTCGGCCGACGGGCGTGCCGGGAACCCTCCTGTCTCGATCCGCTGGCGAAGCGCGGCCCGCGTTTCTTGTCACGCAGCCCGGGCGCGGTCAGGTGAAGGCCGTTGATGCCCCGGTCCTTGGAATCGGAAGTGCCAGAAAGCACTGGGTAGAGAGTACATCCTCCTTCATGCCTTTTGGCTTGTACTATATATATATATATATATATCAATATGCTTGTGCTTCTTCTTTGCTCTTTCGTTTGTTTGCTTGTTTGTTTGCTTCTTTGCTTGTTTGGTTCGCTGGTTGGTGGGCAGGTTTGTTGGTTGGGTTGGTTGGGTTGGTCCTGTTGGGTCGTTGGTTGGGTTGGGCTGGGTTGGTTGGGTTGGTTTTGGGTTGGTTTTGGGTTGGTGGTTGGTTGGTTGGTTGGTTGGTGGGTTGGTTGGTTGGTTGGTTGGTTGGTTGGTGGGTTGGTGGGTGGGTTGGTTGGATTGATTGGTTGGGTTGGTTCGGGTTGGTTGGGTTCGCTGGGTTGGGTTGGTTCGGGTTGGTTGGGTTCGCTGGGTTGGTTGGGTTGGGCTGGGTTGGTTGGGTCTGGCTGGGTTGGTTGGGTTTTGGGTTGGGTGGGTTGGGGGGTGGGTTGCTGGTGAATATAAAGACTCTTCTGTGTTCCTTTTCCCAAATGCTTCTCACAAATTGCCCTGAAGTGAGCCTGGGGAGGTGGGCTTGGGGCCATAGGCCTTACCAACACACCGAATGCCGGAGCGCGCTTCGGCGCGTCTCAAAAGATGAGTAACT